CCCAAATATAAAGCATTGCTGTGGTTAATAATATCTTCGTTGGCCGTCGGTACCTGTATCTAGACACTATTTTTGGTTTTTTTTGTTAATCAGCAAGATATATCGTCTAGAAAGAATCGGAACGTAAGTTGAAACCTTCAATATCAAAAGGTTTCTAACACGCACATACCTTTCATATGACTCAAAAAGAAGTAGAGAACACTCTTCCACAGTATAATAAAGCCCGAATGCATCTAGAGTATATGCGATATTTTTTCGTTCACAAGCTAAAATAAACAAAGAAGTACATTGTCTTTTTAAGCGTTCAATAACATTGAAAGCACAGTTAACAGTCCTAGGTTTTTTAAATTTTGCTACTTTTCTAATACAGAGAAACCATCCGGGCACTATTTTGGCCTTTTTTTTATCTATTGAAGGGATTAAGTTTTGTAGAAAACCAAGTTTTGACACCACAACTTTTATTCTATACTCTTTTTTCTTATTAGCTCGGGAGAAAATACATTTTTCACCTATATTTAAAAATTTCTTTTCTTCATATTACACCAAGCACAAACAGACACTTAGCGCAAACGATTCAGTGTGCACACACTCACACGCACAGTCAATTGTCTCTTTTGTCTAAATAACCACTTTCCACTTAACCCTCTGTTGCAGTAACATTAACATCACTGGCTGTTGTGACGTATCATCAGCACTTTGTTGTTGCAACTGAGCCATCATTTGTTGTTCTTTAACATGTTTTTCTAAAATCTGATTTACTATGCTCTTACCTTTGTTGGCCAATTTCATAACACAAAGCTGTGTTGCCATTGTCAGGGGGAAAACGAAATACAGCAACCAGCCATGATAGATAATTATTGAACCATTTATTCATTGGTTCAACATGCGGCCAACAACTAAGTCTCGTGTAGGACAAGTCCCTATTGGCGTCAAGCCTCTCGAAAAATCATAATCAAAACTTTGTATTATTATACTCCCCACATTCTTCTATTGTTAGAAATGTTGGTTGCATGACTGATGACGATCGTTTCGAACAGATCTCTGAATTTATTTGAGTAAAATACTCTTCAGATTTCGATTATAATTCGTTAAACGCGAAATGTTTATCAGATTGTGCTGGCAGAAGAAGAAACACAAGAAAGAAAGATTCACAATAACGATCAGTAACTTTAAATACTTCATCCACTAACTGACTAGCTTCATTATCTTTTACTATTGTTTGTTGAGGATAAACACGTTGATAAAACATATTGAATATACCATCAAATAGAAGGTATATTGATAAATTTCGACGTTTTAAACGATACCAAATTGTTCTTGATCGTTGCTGTTGTTGATTATAAATAATAATGCTGACAAATCCACTCAGTTGTGTTTTAAATTCACCAAATAAAGCTTGCTTATTAATATTTATACTGTCATGTTTATACAATAATTCACAATGATCATTTATTTCATCTGTAAATGTAATTTCAATATTACATGGTAAATTTTCACATGCTAATGACCATTGTACATTTTGTTTTTGATTAACTGGTAGTAATTTACATTTTGACATTTTCCATCAACAGTAAATGTATTATTTGGTAATGAATGTTTTAATTCTTTAATGTAATCTTGTGTTTGTTGTTGAGTATTCATTGTACCATAGCTGATAATTTGAAATTTTGTTAAACAATTAAATAGACGACATAAACGATGTAAAGCATTGAATAATTTTAATAATTTTAATATTTTCTCTACCATTTGTTTAAATTATCATATATTTAAGACAGAAGAAAAGTAGAAATCTATCGGTGAGTTTAGAATATTTATTTTGTACGGGATGTCTTTCATAGCTGATCACTATTTTGGGTAACAGTAATCATAAGGGCTCCTCGCGCTTTTCTGTTATCCCTGCAACATTCTATTATTGTTTTCTTAGTTATCTTTTTGTTGTCAAATAAAATAAAATAAAATCAAAATAAAATCACTAACCTGAATAAGTGATGTTGATTTATCATTTTTATTTTGTAGATCAAAAATTAATTCATTTACATGATCAATCTGATAATCTCTTAACCATTCAATTATTGGATAAATAATATCAATGAATTTATCAAACCATTCATTATGTTGTTTAACTAAAATAATAAAAATAATCTTTTTCTGATTCAGCTATTAAACTATATCATTTAGTTTTTTTATTGTCATAATGGAATCAATATTTGTACTAACAAATATTTGAATACTAACAATGATTAGTGGCTAATCATTAGGTGACAAGAGAAAAATCATAGAAAGATAAGGAATAAAGCATGTTATGTATCACGTTTGTAAATTTTCGTTTACTATCAACATAAGTTAATGATTATGTACAAAACTACGTTAGTTACACGTTAATATTTGATTATGTTTTTAATTATGAATTGAATGTTATACTACTGATGAAAAGTTAGCTAATAAATTGAAACGTCTAGCTATAAATACTATTTATACGAATACAAAAACAATTTTATCTCGATTTATTTAACTATTATCTAAGGTTCAGCTAATGCAAAATTCAAGTGGAATTTTGTTTTGACTTTATTATACATATTCAGAAAGTCTCAATAATAGTCTGAATAATTAGTCTGAAATAATAAGAGAAACGTCGATATGTGCAACGTGTGTATTTAAGAAAAAAAAGTGGCGTCGTCGATAGACGAAGAAGACGACTATATTTCACATATAGTACTTTCTTTTCTTGTCATTTTTTTCTTTTCTGTCGACGACGCCATCTTTTTTTCTTATATACACACGTTGTACATATCGACGTTTTCCTTATTATTTTAGCTGAGACGAAAAAGCAGTGTCTGTTATACAAGATACTTATTTCTGAAAGTGGTGTAAGACCACTTTTATATTCGAACTTTTTGCAGTTTATAACTGCTTTATTTTACTGAAATACTGATATTGACGTATACTGATGTTGAAAACAGTTTTTTTAACAGTTTCAATTAGTGTTTTTCACATTGAAGGAAGCATTTTTGATATAGTACATTCTCTGAAAAAGAAGACTAGTTCTGATATACTCAACACGCCTGAAGAAAAATTCCAACTGTGCAAGAGTAAAATAGAAAGCGCTTATACGTCCCTATTCTCTCAGAAACTGCAGCTCCCGTGTGCTTCAGCATAGTCTGTTGGTGGTGCCCTCATCTGAGATCTCAAAAGCTGTGCTTGAGCATAATAAACAAATGTGGAGAAATGAAATGTTATTCGAAGTTTATTTAAATCTAAAAGTTTCATCCAAAGAATTTCAGTTCGAATGTTTAACATCCTATATGCTTTAGTGACCTTATAGCGGATGCACTTAGTCGTCAGTCCTAATACCAATATGACTGAAATATATTCGTCTTCTTTTCTAAATCGATGACGCCATCTTTTTATATGTACACATTGTAGTTATCGACGTGTTTATTATCGTTTCAGACGAAACATTAGTATTTTCAGTATTCAGTCTTCATCTGTATCGGCATTTCATCTAATGATGAAGTAATATCTCTCTTTTCCCTTTATTGTTTGTGTGGCTATATATAGTCACGTATGGTCACTTGCATATCATTTGTCAACATCGCTTCTTGTTACACTTTTTAGAAAAAAAATGCACACTATATATAGCGCTTTTGTTGATCGCACATGCATTTTTAGTTTAGTGGCATTGGTTCCAATCAACATTATTGGGCCTCGCGACAGATGCTGTTTTGTGTCAGTATGTAAAAGCTTTTCCTGTGAGAAAGAAAGGCCTTTCAGAACCCTTTATTTGAGAGCGTGGTTTGCTTGCTGATGTCCTGTGCGAATGACCGTTTATTCTTTTTATCTTTGCTGTTCGTTTTTCCAGATATAGAATTGAAAGCAAGAACACTAAACTTTTGTGAAAAGTTTCTTTTTGCTGACCGAGAATCTTCTGAAACGATACTGCGATCTTTTATGTTCAGCCGTATACGATCGTCGTAAACGATTTTCTCTGCTAAAAAGAGAATCGTGTTTATCTCAGCTGGGAAGCATTTTCCTGATGTTGTGTCTATGAGAGAAAATGTGGAGAATGAAATTCTGCACGTGCTGGTATTTTTTAGTCAATATAGATATCATTTGTTTTACTCTTTTTAGGCCTTAGCCGATCAGACATAGTGATTGTACGCCTTTTTATTGTCTGTAAGCACTTAAGTTTCTCATTCAAAATTTTTAAAATTATATCAGGTTTATGAATTATATCACGACACATGGAAAAACAGACAACGTCATATGTGTATAGTCTCTCAACTTAAATAGTTCTCTTTTTCTGTTTTACACTTTAACTCTTTTCTGGTCTCTGCCCTTTTCTTTGTAATTCGCCAGACTCAAGACTCATAAGAGATACAAATCCTTGTATGAAGTCTGCCTTACAACCGATGAAGCAAAATCTTTTCCTGCTTCTCACTTGAGCCCACATAAAGAAGTCAGTATTGTTCTTTCAGAAAAAGCTCCCTTAGTTCAGTTTGTCTCCCATTATTACAACCATTCGTTTCCTTTCTATATATAAAAATATAATCGTTAAATGCCCAAATTATAAGCAAACATAATATCATTTCAATTAACCCTCATCCGCCCACCTATAAGACTATCAGTTGTTGCCCACCTGATAAAACAGTAAAGTTGATAAAACAGGTTTAAAAATCACTGTTAAGACATGGGACATTTTTAATAACATATTCGGATTCAGCCTCGAATGATGAATATTTTCAAAAGAAACCAAATCTTCAGCATAAAATTTGTATTTTGAAATTTAATTTGAAATTTGAAAATTTAACTATTTTGAAAAGTAAAATATCTCAACTCAGGTAAGCGTTGCAGACTTCGGACAAACGTCATTCGA